CTGTTCCATCGAGCCTACTTACAGATATCCTAATGTCTAGGCATGTGGGCTCATTTCTCAACATCTTTTTAATCTTCCAAATGTTGCCTGAACCAACCCTACGAAATTTCAAACACAGAACATTGTCTCTTGCCTTCTACTTAAAATGATGGTGACTCAAATCTTGGCCATTTAGCTTAGAAATCAATGTAATTTATTGCTGTTATAACTATACATCGTCCTGTTCCTGCTGGAGCAGATGCAAAGAGACTTTGTTGCTTCCATTATGATTTTTCTCCTTTCATTTGGGTAAATATATTTGTAGTCATGATTTCAGAGATAAACCAGTAAAAAAAAAATAGCTCATTTTTCCTCTACACAATATATTGTCAGATCATTGCTTACAAAGGGTTGGTATAAATGCCTGCACCACAGTAATGATGCTGAGTTTTATATATAGATTCAAGATGGGGAAATTTCAAAGGCATGGCAATTCAGCTATAGGTGGGTTTGGAATCAATGTCATAAAACTGGTCACAAAGTTCTTTTTATGACACAGAGCAAAATGTCTTTTTTCTTTCTCTCTCTCTCTCTCTCTTTTTTTTAAGGAATATAAGTGCTTCTAGATCTCTTTTGAAATAAATTACAGTTTTTAGGTTCACATTTGAAAGAATTATTAATGCCATTTGCAAACACCAACAAAATAGACTGAACAGAGAAATCCCTCTAGAAAGAGATTAAGGAAATCATTGAATTCTCCAATTAATAGGAGATACCATCTAAATTCCAGTTTCAAGGCATTGTATTCTCCGGATACATTAGATTCACCATTAGATGAGCAAACATGGGACATTAAAGGATGGTTAAGTACTGACTGACACAGAATCTGGAAGCCAGATTTAGCTTCTAGGATTTTCCAGAAGACATTCTAGAAGAGGTTGCTGCCACTGACACCCAAAGGCAATTGTTCTTCTTGGGAAAGAACTTTATATGGAATTTAGGCCCTAGGGCCAAAACCTACAAGGCATTTATTACTAGGTGATATGATAAATTTAATAAAAGTTGAAATAACCATGAAAATAGTGTCTTTAAAAATCTATGTACTATTAGTAACAATGCATGCATAGTGCCAGGCATTCATTAACTATTTGGTCATAAAAATATGTGACTGTAGTTATGGTATTTACAGCCAACGTATAAAAATACATCTAATTCTGAATGGCAATGGTTAATCTCTATCTCTAGCCACAAGCCTTGAAAGTTAGCTTATTATGTGAAGGTGTAATGGGTAATTACAAAATGGACAAAGCTCTCACCCTCTTGAATTCAACATTCAAGAATGGCTATTATAGCATCATAGGAGCTTCCTTTGTCACAATTCTTCTAAGCTCACAAGGTAAATCCAAAAATTCTGTGGGAATAAATAGGAATTAAATGGGAAAGGGACGCTCACATGATACAACTACAGTGGAGAATAATTCTTTCATAGAATATTCATGCACAACTTTCAAAGAGGTTCACAGTCCCTGAAAGAATTAATTGGATGACCTTTAAGTACATCCTTCATTTAGAAAAAAAGTCAGTAAGATTGAAGTTAGCATATGATTACCTTTAAGTAAAATAGGTTAAGAATTTAACTTGTAGCCAAATCTCTTTCTACAATTTAAACGAGTACCTCTTTGAAGCTTTATTAACCATCATGGAGAGTAGGCTCTTATGGGTTCTCCAATTTAAATATAAATTCTGATGGAAGAAAACAAATTTACATTCAGTTTAAATTAAGAAAAGCTATGGTTTTTACAAACTTGAAACCTCTCACTTTAAGAAAAATACGTGTTCCAACAAAATAAAATATTCTACATATCTGAGGCATTTCCTGAAGATTTTTTCTCTTCTAGGAGTTGATTGGCCATCTTCTAGCAGTAGATAAGTTCCTTATTTGAACACCATCATTATTTGGACAAAGAACAGGAGGAAATTTGAAAAACCGGGGAGAGTTGCACATAAGCTATTGAAAAAGGCAGAGGTTGGGTGTTAATCTGCAAAATCATGATCTCATATTTTAGAATGTATTTTGGCATTCAGTAAATGGAATTCTTAGAAACATCTGTTCCAGAGTGAGGTTGGGAGGTCATATGATGCTGTTAGAGTCTTCCTAGACTTAACTTACTGTCCGGAGCTGAGTTAGGCCATTTGAGTGGTATATTAACTCTTCCAGAACAAGAAATTCCATTTCAGTGATTTATTGCTACAGTACAATAAAAGTGCCATAGTATCCTGGAAAAGAAAATGTCCTTCTAAAATTCCACACCTCTAGTTACTTGAACAATGAGAAATTCATATTTATCTTAGTAACATTAATCCTTGAAGATATAACCCCCAAAAGAACTATTTTTCCTCTTGCAAATAGACACTACACAAATGATATTGGAAATATCAGGGGTTTGGCAATATATGCCACTATCCCCATATGCATTTGGCAACTGTCATGCTCGATTCTTTCTTTATGTATCATTCTGCAACATTCTGTGCATGTGCAATTGTAGGTAATTAAGGAAAAAGTAGGCAAGCTTTTTAAACATTGTAAGTGCTTGGGAGAATGGCATGACCTAGAAAGAAGTAGAATGATATGATAATTAATGGATTTCCTCAGATGATTACCTCTTATCTTTTGAAAGAGATATAAAAAAGGGTAAAACAAATCTTCACAAATAATGAGTAAACTGTAAAAGAAGAATCCTGCCCTCCACCCCCTACCCCCCACTCAAAAACCACACCCAATTCTTCAGAAATTTCTGTTTCAGATATGAGATCATGATCTGCATGTCTACTAGTACCAAATACCAGTTCATTCTAGCAGAACAGTTCAGGAGGTAAAAGGCTAGAGTTATCTGTGACATGACTTTACATATAATGCAAGAACAATAACCCTATGTTTATGGCAATTATTTTCCATACTTGATCTATTGATATTGTGACCAGATGAACACAATTGAAAAGATATACATAATTTCTAACAGGAACTAAATTGCATCAAGGTAGGACAAATCAAACTCCATTTAATAAAATAAAGTTTGGCTAAATTTTTTATTTTATTTTAGAAACAGTTCTCCTTTCCCTTAATTTGTGGTAAACTCTTTGTTTGTAAAAGGTACACTGTTTTGTTACTTCATTCATCCATAAAGTTTATTTCTAAAGACTACCTCTACTATCTCTCTTTTCTGAACTTAATTCAGTCCAGGAGATTGAATTTTTCCTTTTTTCTTCTTCTTAGGTTTAATATTTGAGATTCAATTAAAATATACAACCAAAGTTAGTGGGAAACAGTTGCTCTTTTCCAGGTAAAAGAGTTTACTAAGGGATTTTATAATCCTTGGGCATTTGTTCAGTCCTACCTGAAAATTAACTTACTCAACTACTTGGCACAGAAAAAGGCATTTTCTAGTAATTTTCTGTGACAGGACGCACACACTAATCCAAGTAAGCATCCAACAGATTTAGAATATCTGCTGGGGAGTAATTCTAAACTTTCGCTTTTAAGCTTTTTTGAGAGAGGATTCGGTCGCCTTTACAATTTCTTGCCACCCGTGGGAAGATACAATCACCCTAGAAGGTGCACCTACTAAGGAGCACTCTTCAGGTAACACGAACGATGATATGGCAAGAAGCTACAAAATAGTAGTTGCAGTGACCACCATGATAGTGATTGTGGCTTGGGTTAATGTTTCAAATATCAATTCAAGGAACACAAGAGACTTTATAGGATTAGAATATTTTCAATACACTGAGAACCAGTAGATGGTGCATGATGAATGATGATGACCCATTTATTCCATATCATTCTACTAGCTTCCTAGGTATGCCTCCTTTCTTATATAGTAATTTTATCTCTTCCATGGCAATATATTTTTACCATCTAAAATGAGAACACTTTAACTATTGCATCCTCCCCCTCCCCCCCCCCCCTCACACACACACACACACACACACACACACACACACACACACACACTAACTAGTGCAGGCTTATACACACATGTATAGACAGTACATATAAAAATGCTCATTTGCAATGGTTGAACTCTCTGAAAGCAGCCAAATCAACCTCCTTAATTACAGAGAACCATTAAAAGCCAATAAAAAAATATGTCAACTATTTAGCTTTAACACAAGATTTTAAACCTTGTCCATGTGGCCACTAATTCATATGCCCTTTGTGTTTTTGTTTGTTTGTTTTGTTTTTGTTTTTTACTAAGTCTTCCAAAGCAAGAATATCAAAGACTGACAATATGATATATAGAATCTAATAGAGTCATCTCTGATCATTTTGCTTAACACAGTTGAATAATACTCTTGTTGCTGAAACACGAGTTGATTTCGAATGGCCATGAAGGCTCCTTATTTGGCTAAGGCTGATTTGAATTTCTAGAGAAAGGCCAGCCTATCTGCAAATGGACATCTCCCCCACACACACACATAAATGGCAATGTATAGTAAAGACACACATATATGTACACAGAAAATGGATCAGGAAGTCCTTTGGTTTAGACTGGATTAAATATGTACTTCCCAAGTGCATAGGTTTCCTTTGACCAACCTGTTCAAAAACCAAATATGAAAAGTGCCATGGCAGTTTTGACATTTTCTATGTTTTTTCCTTTATTTGGAGGCCCCTTCTCTCTCTTCTCCCCTCTCCAGCTCTCCTAAGCATTTTAATTGAAAGCAGTTGGTTCTTTTGCACTTTTAATACTTCTTTGACCCATCCATTTCTTGGAAGAGCTCTAAGATCACATCCAGAAGCATCTTTAGTGGAGAACAAGGTTGAAAAGAAGGTTTCCCCTTCTTTGATTCCCTCTTTCCCCCAAGAAGTGGATGCCTTGACGTGTCATGAGGAATTCACTCTTGATCTGACTTGCCTTGTTACCCCTGGCCAGCCCAAGCAGCTGAGGTCTGAGCTTTACTCGCCCTGCATCGTTGTGCAATACTGGAAAAGAAAAAAAAATAATCCATTAGTGACACCTTCAGACTGTGGTGACGTGATCAGGGTTCTCTTGAATTTCTATGCATTCGATCTCCTCTCTCTCCTTTCGCTTGGCACGTTTCTTTTTTTTATGGTGCTTTTTGGAAGGGGGGAAGAAGGTTAGGAACACAGGTAAGATAACAAAACAGTGCAGAAGTGTGCAACCCCCGGTGAGCAGCAAGCATTTGAACAGTGTGAAGGTCAGGTTCGAAGGCACAAATAGGAGGGGGACCAACCCAATAAGAAAACAAGTAATATTTTGCAAAATGGCTGTCCCATGCTCTTGCAGGGAGATTTTTATACATTGCGTTCGGGTGTGCTCGGTTGCTAGTACAAATGTGTAAAGCAGTGGTGCACAGTGGTCAATGGCGAAATTTAAAGTGTAGATAAGGCACAAGATAGAAATGCAATCCATGTCAACGTTCCATAATGTCATTAAGCCCAGGACCCCCAGCTCAATTGAGGTGACGCTGAGAATCAGCCAGAAGTTTCCCAGAGGGTGAATCACTAGGAAAAAAGTCAGGATTAACACCAGGAGAACACCAAAGCCTGCGATCAGGACAGGCACTGTGACCGACAAGCCATACTGGTCCATAAACACAAAGGAGGGGTTGAACACAATGAATCGGATGCTCTTGGAGAGGGACAGGGGCCTCAGCTTTTCCAACACTTCTATGACTTCCTTCTGCTTGTCTCTGCTCGTCCTGGCCACCAGGTACAAGCGAGAAGCAATGATGTTGCTCTCATCCCCTGCCTTGGAGAAGATGATGTCATTGCGAAAGTGCTGGAATTCGGGCTTTTTGAGAAATGAACTCTGCAGGACACTGATGAAGTCGCTCTTGTTACTGGCACTGATGTTGCTAACTTTCAGGAACTGGTAGTACTGCTCTACCCAGGACATGGCAGTGAACCCACTGCAGAGTCTCCGCAGGTCCTCCTGGACGCTGCTGTTCCAATACTGGAGGGGCTCGTAGACGTAGAAGCCTATCACAGGGCTGTAGTTGCTGAAATATTTCTGCTGGACCATGGCGTAGGAAACACTCGGGGAATCGCTGGCGAGCAGGTTGATGGTGTTGGCTCTGTCGCTGATCTGCAGGCACCCCATGAAGGAGAAGGAGGAGTAAATGAGATAGAGGATGACCACAAAGGGCTTCACGTAGATGTTGGTAATCCACTCGTTGTAATGCTCACGGAGGAAGTGCTGAACGAAGTGGTGCTGGTAGGGGTTTGTCTCATGATGGGATGTCTGCTGGTGCCCGTCACTCATCACGGTCTGGAACCACACGGGCTTGCGGTCCAGGTACTCCGCAGAAGGGATTTTACAGCAAAAGATGCTGTGGTAGCGGTTTTGCTCTAGCTGGCCCGCGAAGACCAGACAGGAGCCAAAGAAAGAAAAGATGTAGAAGTAGTTTAACAGAATGGAGACACACATGTTCTGACAGAAGACCTTGACAGCCTCTAGGTTTGTGAATGGGCTGGCGCCCATGCCAAAGGTAATGAGGTACAGAGAGCTGGTCATGGTATAGGTGACCATCACGTCAGAATAGGCATCTGCTACCCTGTCTTTGAAGGGCAGGTTTTCTCTGGTTCTCCGCCATCCAGATAGAAGCTCAAATACTCCTTTAGTTCCATGACCTAATTTATAAAAAAGAAGAAAAAGAATAATTGTTGTTTTATTTGTTTTTCTCCTACATGAATTCAAATGAATTCCTGCTAGGTTATCTAAGGTCAACAGTACTTTATACTCTATTCCTCCTATCAGGATCTCAAAATTTGAGTTACATAGCAGGGCACATTTGCTCCATGTTCCCACTTTAGGAAAGTCCAGATTTATTGGATGGAAAAAATGAAGTATTTATTATCCATTCTATTAATTTGACAAGTTGTAATATAATATAATGTGGCATTATCTGCACACACATTGTCTCCTTAAATGGACTATAAATTGTCAAGAGCAGGGGCTGTTAGTCCTTCAACACCAACTCAGCACTTGATCAACTGATGTGTTGACTGATAGTGCCTAACCTCCATTTCAGGCTGATTTACATTCTGATTTAGGAAATCAGAAGATGATTTTAAACACTTAAAAATGGCTTTAAATTGATTTTACAATGTTAATAATCTGCTTGGTGGCCAAATGGCTTAGAAACTGATCCTATAGATTTGATTTATACTGGATGTGAGTTAAAAAAATAAAAACCTGCCAAGTCATGTAAAAGATAAGACAAGACTATTACAAGGCAAGACCAGCAGAGCAAGAGATCACAGCTAGCATGTCCTCTGGGCTCCTCAGAGAACCTTTATTCACAGAGATGCAAACTGACTAAACGTTTGACTGCCTCATTCAAGTACATAGAAAATGCTTATTTTTATAGCCAGCTTCTTTGAACATTTTGATAAGGGTAAATGGACAAAAAAATTATTCAAAAATACTACTTGAACACCTACTATGTGTCTGAAGCTCATAGATACTGAGATGTTTTATTTCATGAACTTGACAGCTCTTAGGATACCACCATTTGCTTCTTTCTTACAGAATCAGAAACTGTAAAGGTATCATACTATTCCTGCAGTTTCTCTTTTGTTTTTCACTTGCTTGAGTTAGCTCTGTCAATGATCAGCCAGTTGATAACTGTCTGCCTGAATGGAAATCTTCATAGATTAGTCTTGCCCTTGTAGCCACAGCAGCACTACAGACAAACCTTTTCTATGCCTAGACCGAAGCTGTGCTAGATAAAAATGTAGCATAAAGGTACCAAATGAACGAGTTTAAGAAAATCTGGAAAGTGGGCTTCGTGTGGCACCTAGAGAGTAGAGTTCTGGGTTACAGACCCAGTTCACTTAGCAGTGCTTTAACAGACATACTATCAAGGCCTAGGTCTCACTATAATCATTGATTTTGTGTTGTTCATAGAGTTTAATAACTGGCCTACATAATTCCTTTTCTTCCTTCTCACTTTTATTTGGGACTACAATGTGCACAATTAAAAACTTTATTCCTCAGTCAACCTTTCAACTAGGGGTGGTTCATGTGACATATTTTTGGACAATGTGATGTAAGAAGAAGTCATTTAAGGATGCTTATTAGAAAACCAGACAGAACTTTGTTCCAAATGACATCATGGAGCCACCAACAAGAGCCTTAGCCTATCTTCCTTAAAGAAAATCAAAACTCCATTTGTCTAAAAGGAGTGGTTATATGCAAGTAAACTACTCCTAACCAACTAAGTTTTGTGAGTCAACACCTACCCAAACTTCTTTTATGGGGATCTAAGAATTCTTGCTTTATAGTTAGACCATGGAATTTACAGGTTTAAGTGTATATAATGCTGATCTTTGATTTTAAAGATACATTGGTCAACCTATTCTGGGAGTTACTATTAACTATTATTGCACTGGAGTTATTATTTCAAATAAAAACCTATTTATTCTCCAAGGTTTTCTCTTCTGAGTTTCCAGTCAGGAAAGATCCTTTAAGCAAACAAGTAGAAAGGATTCTGAGAGCAATCTCCTTTGGGTAAGTACCCCAAAACTCAAAAATATTTATTCACAAAGACATATGCATTATTCATCACAACATTATTCACAGTGGCCAAGACCTAGAGACACCAAAGTGTCCTTCAATAGAGGATTGGATTAAAAAGATATGGTACATATATACCATGGAATACTACTCAGCCATCAGAAAAGATGAAATACTGCCACTTGCAACAACATGGAGGGACCTTGAGATTATTACGCAAAGCAAATTAAATGAGTCAGAAATACCTAAGAACCATACAATTTCACTCATATATGGAATATAAAACTGAAACTCACAGACACAGACAACAGTGTGGTGGTTACCAGAGAGAAGGGGGTGGGGAGTAACAAAGAGTAAAGGGAGCCAAATACATGGTGACAGAAGATGATTTGACTTTGGGTGGTGGGCATATAATGCCATGTGTCCTGGAGACTTGAAACCTATATGGTCCTATTAACCAATGTCACCCCCAAATAATGTAATAAAAATTACTAACCCAACATATATGATCACTGAATTAAGTCTAATGATTCTTTTTTTAAGTTTAATGTTCTTTTTTTAAATTATATTTTATTGATTTTTTTTTTTTTACAGAGAGGAAGGGAGAGGGATAGAGAGTGAGAAACATCCATGAGAAAGATCCATCAGCTGCCTCCTGCACACTCCCTAATTAGGATGTGCCTGCAACCAAGGTACGTGCCTTTGACCAGAATCGAACCCAGGACCTTTCAGTCCGCAGGCCAACGCTCTATCCACTGAGCCAAACTGGTTTTGGCAAAGTCTAATGATTCTTAACATCAATTGTTAATTTCCATCTTCTGCAAGACTCCTTGACCAAACAGGATACTTATTCTTATTCCCTTGATAAAAATGTAATATTAGAATATTAGTTAAGTTAATTAAAATAATTAAATAGAGCACTTCTCTTCTGAAATGAGGACTCTTACTATCTTTGTAGCCACAAGGGGAGGGAAAAGGGTACGTGGGGCTACAGCTAAATTTGACTTGCCTTTGCTAATGGTCACTTTTATGGAATATTAGGTACACTATGTAGGCCAGCGTGTTGTTTTATATAATACAAAGGTCTGTATGTGTAGGAAGATGTGCTAAACTGTATTAGGTTAAGTAATCATTTTAAGTGTGATAAAGATTGAAAACACAATTTCCAAACTTTGGAGCTGGCATGTTTTCTCTCATTCATAGATTTAGGTATTTTACAAGGTATTCCTATCAATATTCACTTACTTGATTCTCATCATAATTAGGTTACTTCCTAGCAGTTCATATCTCTTACCTGTTTCAGTCAGGGTAATCTTCTCTCTCCATGAACCTACCTATGATTAGTCTTATCTTAGTTTTGTTCATGCTATTTTTTTTTCTGCCTTATATAACACCTTCTCCTAATTACTGGTCATTTAATTGAAATTCTATCCATTGGACAGCTAACAATCAGCTCAATTCTCATCTTTGCCAAGAATCTATCTCTGAAAATTCCAAACACATTGATATTTTTTTCTGATTCCTAAACTCTATTGCATCTATTAGTAACTCATTTTAACACCCATTCATGGGCTGTTTTGCTCTGGAACAAAATTACTTTCCCAAGGTATGGTCAATCTCTGGTTAGATTGAAAATTCTTCAAGTTCAGAGAATGCATTTAATGTTACTTTTATACTCTGCAGAACATTTGGCAAAGTGATAGATGACCAGAGATGTCCAGTAACCACTTATTGAATTAAATCAACTGTAATTCTTTTTCAAAAATACATTTTTATTGATTTTTTGAGGGAGAAAGGAGGAAGATGGCTAGAGAGATAGAAATATCGATGAGAGAGAAACACTGATTGACTGCCTCCTGTACACACCCCACTGGAGATTGAGCCAGTTCTATTCCTGGGCATGTTCCCTGGCCAGGCATCAAACCAGTGGCCTCTTGGTTCATGAGTCAATGCTCAATCACTGAGCCACACCAGCTGGGATACAGTAATTCCTGATTCTAACTGGGTTAAGAAAATGTATGTATCTTTTAAATTCTTATTCTTCATTATTAAAATAATATACTTAAAGCATCCTATTACCTGTGTCAAGAAATTATATACTTTGTAAAATTAATTTATTTTCTAATCACTATTGTCATACCATATTATAGTAGTTTCAGTTTTATAACATAGTTAATAAATATCGGATCTAGTAATACTTAATGTGGTTTTTAAACATTCGTTTAAAATCTTGCTTGGCGTTGACTTGTATTGACATAACCTTGAAACACGTGGTATCTACAGAACGTGTGAAGTGCAATTAATAAGTTTTGCTTGAAAAAGTTTGTGTTTGGTTTGGTTTGGTTTTTGTTGCAAAACTAGGGCTAAGAAGATGGCGGATGAAGAGCATATTCGGTACTGCATGCTTTACGAGTTCCAATTAGGAAGAAAAGCAAGTGAGGCTGCAAAAAACATCTGTAGTGCTCTTGGTCAAGATGCAGTTAGCGCCAGAAAATGCCAGCGTTGGTTTGAGAAATTTCGCGAGGGAAATTTTTTGTTAGATGACAAGAGTGGTCGAGGCCGTGTATCCAATTTTGATCAAGAAGCTCTTCAAGCTCTTTTGGTGCAAAATCCTCAAATTACCCAACAAGAGCTTGCGACAACTTTAAATTGTTCACAAAAAACAATTTCCAATCAATTGCGTGCACTTGGCAAAGTCCAAAAGTTTGGAAAATGGGTTCCTCATAAGTTGACCGACAACAACCGTAATCAAAGAGTCACAATTTGCAGTTCGCTCCTCTCTCGTCAAAACCGTTTGCCGTTTTTAGAGCAAATTGTTACCGGAGATGAAAAATGGGTGCTGTATGTTAATTTGAAAAGGCGGCCTCAATGGTTGGACAAAAATGAGGCTCCGCAGCCCACGCCAAAACCTGACTTGCATGCGAAAAAAGTGATGTTGTGGGTTTGGTGGAATTTTAAAGGAATTCTTCATTATGAACTTTTACCATCTAACCAAACCATTACAAGTGCAG